AACTAAACTAAGGAGAGGCACAGTTCCCCAGTCCCTCTGGTCACAGTCACTTTGCTCTGCCCTCCCCGTTCTGCCCCAACAGTCTTTGTTAAGACTCTTCCCTTGTTTTTCTCCCTTAGTGGTCCAAATAGTCTTTATTAAGACTTTTGCTCTTATTTTCCCCTAAGTATTTGATCGGCCTCTTTGTAGGCTTTCCCTTAGATTTCCACACTGCCGTACCTCCCTTACCATGACTTTGATGGAGATTCTCACCGAGTGGGATGCAGCCTGCTACCACAAGGATGAGTTGCTCGCAGAGGCCTACTCAACGGCCCTGGAGTGCATGCGCACTGCTAGTCCCGCAGAACGCAGTGACCCCCGTCTCCCTGCATTCCTGCAAGCCGGTTACATGGCTTTACTTCGGAAAAAGTCCAAGGCTAACAAGCAGGATTCGCTTATCCATCAGCTGGCGTTGCGCCTCGCCCTCCCTGCCCCTTCCGCCCCCACCCCACCCCGCTCGGCCCTGGACATGGTCGGGGGTGCAGTAACACGCTCTGCTCAGGCCGCCCAGCCCCGCCCCTTCCCGCGCTGATTCCCCGGCCCGCCACACTGTCTCGAAAGATGACTGGCAACCAGAAGGGTGCCATTGTCTTGATCGAGAAAGATCTGGGGAAAGTGTTGGTTTATCTGGCATGCCGACACCACGAGCTGGAGACGCTGCCCAAACACCTGTTTGAACACCTTATTGAAAAATCCTCTTCCCCAGACCTAGGGACTCTTTGTAGTAGCTTCAGACAACAATGGGAAGCAATGGACCACGACCACACCAACTACAGGCCTACGGTAGAGGACCCTGAACAAGACATTTTGACACCTGAAATGGCCAAGAACATAATTGAATTTTGTACCAGAATTTTGCAGATAACTTGTCATTTGCATTTTGATACAATATCCTGTCAACATTTTTTTCAGTCCTTTTTTTTTTCAGAGAAAAATGATTATATGCGATTATCAATATTTTGCGGAGCTGGTGATGATTTATTTAGGTGAAGTGCCTCCAACTCAGCCTAATGGTGTTTACTTCCACCCGCCAATTGCTATAAGTTCAGCGCGTTTCATGGCCCGGATTATCTATTCGCTCTCAATAGAAATGTTTGGAGCTACAGGTAAGACTTAGTTTTTAATGTGGCCTGTTTGTGTGCCCCCAATGCCCTTGCCCCCTCTGACTTTTTAGGGCCGCCCTACAGTGGGCCAGAAGACCGGGGAGGCGGCCAAACGCGTTTCGAGCTCCAGAGTCACTAAATGGGACTCGAAACGAACGTGTGACCCCCCATTAATGGATTCCTCGTTTGGAGAGCAACCCATTGGTGGGGGTGGGGTCACACGCTCGGTTCGAGTCCCATTTATCGACTCTGGAGCTCGAAACGCCTTCCGAGTTTTGGCCGCCTCCGCCGGTCTTCTGGCCCACTGTGTGCGCCCCTGGCTGATTTTATCAATTGGTATTTAAAACGTGTTTTAGGTGAGTTTGCTGTTTCAAAGGAGACTTTGAAATCCCTGCGGGATCTCAACACCTTCGTAATCATCAATTATTTAGAACCATGGTTTACGGCGACAGAAGGCATCTCAGCTCCTCGAACCGACCTTGCTTTGTTACACAACATCATTGACTATGCCGAGCACAACGAACAGGTCTCCAGCATAGCACTGGCTGCCTTCAAACAGCACTTATGGTATTTGTCGCCGCACTGTGTTGCCCTGGCATTTTATGATGATTATGTGTCTGTCGAAATCAAGAGGAAGATGGTAGAAAATCTGTCCACTAAAGGAAGCAGAGGTCGGCCACCACTTAAATTTGTAGTGACGAAAAAAACCCAGACCGTTACCCTGAGAGCCCTGGACCTTCCAAAGTGTGTGAACCAAGACACACTGTACTTTTTTGAGGCGTTAGACCTTTCCCAAGAGTTTTTGGAAAATGATCCAAGCGAGTGGCCAAATGATCCTGTCTACCGCAAGGACCAGGAGACTTTGAAGACATTACAGG